CCGTCCTCTGCCCGCTCTCCCGTATCTGCTCCGGTGCGCCTCGAATTTCCGGTAGTGTATCTCCTCTCTGTATCGAGGAACTTTCATCCCCCTTGAGCGATTCCTCGACAGACCCGGTTCTCTGTGTCCGCTGGAACGTGCTCGTTCTTGATATTACTCCTTGGCCCCGATTCTCTTTTATTCCGCGGCAGCCACGCCGCGCCGCGCCGCCCCTCTCCGCACCCCTTTGTCTCGCGACTTTTCATTTTAAATGAATATTCGATCACGCCGATTTTTAGCGACGCGTTCTCCCGGATCAGGCCTGTTTCTCGCAGCTGATGTTTCATTCGCGAGGCATTTAATTCGACGCCAGAGCTACCGAGCCCTGAACGCGACAAATGTACACTTTTTGATAATACATATGTGTTTGAACAAAGAAAATCGAAAGATATATCATAGAAAAACAACAGTCTCTTTCTCAGAACAGTTTTAACGAATCAGAAACTCGTGGTGATTCTGTAAATGTATGACTTATGTATGTTTAAGTACATAAAACGAGAGGCTGTTACTCGGACATTTTTTAAGATTTTGCCATGTGAAAATTGTCACAAGTTATACGATTTATGCACTTTTAAATAAGGTATTCGATCAGAGACGGAGGACCGTCACATTCTTCGGAAAAAATTCCTAAAGTTCACAATGATCTAAGTAACACGAAAATACGTACATACTCAGTAGATTCAAGCTATACACAATAGAATCTATTGCAAATAGTACATAGCGAACTATAAAGATTGAAGCACTTGTTTATGAACTATTCAGACATTGCAGAGCACGGAAAAATATTTCTACGATTTTCGTACCGCCAGTTGAAGAAAACTATGAACTGTTTTACCTCGAAACATAAACCGGCTTAATAAGTACTAAAACAATGCAACTCGCTTGTCGAGCTCACAGAGACAATTCACAATGTAGAGTCTACATTGTAGACTCTGCATCGACGAAACAAAATCCCATGCATTTCAAGAAGAGTCCGCAAAGTAAGATAAGCAAACCCGAATTGTCCTCGGAAAACAGCGGAGCGCGAAGACTGCAACAACGGCGCGAGGCTACGAAACGCGGAACAGGGATCAGAAATTTGCCACGCGAAACAAAGAAGGGCTGAACAACATGGCGACTGGTGTTCAGAACAAACGATGTTCAAACTGTTTTACAGGAGCGTGGAGCGTTGAAAGGTGGAGGTAGCGAAAGGGGAGTCGTTTACCCGAAACAAGCAATGTTTTCGCGGCAAAATGCTTCCGCGTCTCTCCCGCTCTTGCTCTCTCGCTCTCTCTCTCTCTCTCTCTCTCTCTCTCTCTCTCTCTCTCTCTCTCTCTCTCTCCCTCTTTCTCCTCCCTTTCCACTTTGACGTTGTTGTTCCTTCAGCGGTAACGGGTCGATTGTTTCGCCGAGAATTAATTACCACTTGTTCTCGGGGCGCTAGCTGTAGCTGCGTGAACAAAGCGCGAAGCGCTTGCATCCTGGAAACGGAGCCCCGGATCAAACGAGAAACGACGCGGCGCGACGTCGACGCCGACGACGCCGACGACGACGACGACGCGGTTGCAACCGCCGAAACAAAGGGCATCCAGGTCGCGCCCAACTCGCTCGCAACAATGCTTGCCGATGTCGAGACGCTAGCGTCTTTCTGCCGTCGATCTTTGATCTCGCCGTGGGCGGAGAAGTCCGCTCTCTGATTGGATGATGGTTATGGATATAGCAGAAACTGGAGATGAAAGTAGCAATTTGAGCTTGGCGTAGGAGCTCGCGAAAATTATTGCGCTGGCGGTGATCAATTTTTGTAGCGAAATCTTGCTGAGCTGGCCGAGTTTGTCGCTGTGGCTTCGATTGGTGATAAGAAGGATCTTTGTAGATAATTGACATTTTCTAAGGATATTGGAGGGGACGGAAGTCAGATGAAAATGCGTTTCTTCGTGTAATATCCCCATACAGATTTATTTTATATTTTTAAATGAGTACATAAAATTTTAAAAATATATAATTAATTTTATATATTTAATATATATATATTTTATATATTTAATATATATATATTTTATATATTTAATTAATATATAATTTTTAAAATATATAGACGACGAAATCATTTATTGTACGATTCAAAAATTAATCTTTAAACTAAACTATTATAGCTTCCTCATTTTATTGGGATCAGTAAAGAGTAAAAATGTTGACGNTCTCTCTCTCTCTCTCTCTCTCCCTCTTTCTCCTCCCTTTCCACTTTGACGTTGTTGTTCCTTCAGCGGTAACGGGTCGATTGTTTCGCCGAGAATTAATTACCACTTGTTCTCGGGGCGCTAGCTGTAGCTGCGTGAACAAAGCGCGAAGCGCTTGCATCCTGGAAACGGAGCCCCGGATCAAACGAGAAACGACGCGGCGCGACGTCGACGCCGACGACGCCGACGACGACGACGACGCGGTTGCAACCGCCGAAACAAAGGGCATCCAGGTCGCGCCCAACTCGCTCGCAACAATGCTTGCCGATGTCGAGACGCTAGCGTCTTTCTGCCGTCGATCTTTGATCTCGCCGTGGGCGGAGAAGTCCGCTCTCTGATTGGATGATGGTTATGGATATAGCAGAAACTGGAGATGAAAGTAGCAATTTGAGCTTGGCGTAGGAGCTCGCGAAAATTATTGCGCTGGCGGTGATCAATTTTTGTAGCGAAATCTTGCTGAGCTGGCCGAGTTTGTCGCTGTGGCTTCGATTGGTGATAAGAAGGATCTTTGTAGATAATTGACATTTTCTAAGGATATTGGAGGGGACGGAAGTCAGATGAAAATGCGTTTCTTCGTGTAATATCCCCATACAGATTTATTTTATATTTTTAAATGAGTACATAAAATTTTAAAAATATATAATTAATTTTATATATTTAATATATATATATTTTATATATTTAATATATATATATTTTATATATTTAATTAATATATAATTTTTAAAATATATAGACGACGAAATCATTTATTGTACGATTCAAAAATTAATCTTTAAACTAAACTATTATAGCTTCCTCATTTTATTGGGATCAGTAAAGAGTAAAAATGTTGACGAAGTAATTGATAACACTTATTCATACAACTTAATTTTTCAATGTCAATTTCAATTTAAATTTCATTATCTATTAAAATAAGAAAGTAACTATGCACACCCTGCAGTCAATGCACAAAAGTATGATGAAGTTAATCTCGTTCACAGTGATTTCCACAATATACAATTTTCATTTCGACGCGAAACTTCGTTTTTCACCTGAGACTTCATTTCCAAAAATCTGCGATGTTGTCGATTATCGAGCGAATCGAACATAATAGACAATGAAAACGGTTTTCTTGGATGGAGCCATCGACACGGTGAATCGAGTTACGGCCGCGGAAAGTGAAAATGCAATTTTCCGACCGGACAATTGTCAACGAGGCGGATTTAAATGAGGCGCGATTACGGCCTCGTCGATAATTCAGCCATAACGGCTGCCGCTGCCGGCGGCGTCGCCGTCACACAACACGGCCGTTTCGCCGGGTAAACACAGCGTCCAAATGCCTTTTATAGTCATTGATCGAACGCGTGATCCAAGTGCCTATCGTTCGTTTACAAACTGCTTTATTCGGGCCCGCAAATACGCAGTTTAGAGAGCGAGAGAGAAAGACGGTGCTCGCTGTCGAAGCTGTCGTTCCTTCCACTGCGATTGCGTGGATCGTAAACGACGATCTATTTGTTAATAATACGATTCTTCTGATGACTTACATCCGCTTTATTTCACAATAAATAATCTTAATATCCTATAAATATATATTTGTTAAATATATTCAAAGCGAAGGCAATCAAATTTAATTCCTAACAAGTAGACTGCGGATCTCGTGCATTTGCGGCAAAAATTAATAAATTCAGTACGAAACACTAGAAACAGTAGCATTATTACCAAATAATTAAAATCATTAAAGAACGAAATCAACGTCTACGTAGCTCCCGCATCTTGTAATTACTGCAGACAATTTTCATTTCGCATAAAAATCCTCAGTCTATTAACACGTTCCGTGCCACGTGTACCATCGATGGTACACGCTTGCATGTTTACTTAGTGAACTGAACAAATTGTTTACAAGAAATTTAAAACCGAAGAATCAATTTCCACCGCAAGAATGGGCGTCGATAAGTTTTTGTTACGTTGTTATGTGTACGAGAATTAATAATTGCACGTAATACATCAAGTTTTAGTAAAATATCAAAGTGTGAAGATTCGAGTAAAAAAAGCTCAGCACGGAACGTGTTAA